CTAACTGACTCCACTCTTATCTCTGCCCTTCTGGGTTGCAAGTAAAACTGCCAGGAAGCCTTTAGCGGGGACCCCTACAATCTTGTGCTGAATTCAAAACATAAGGTGTTACTGCTTGGGACAGGACATAGACCTGTCCTAGGAGAAGGGGTTTAGCATGAAAGGAACTAAGGAAATGGAAGAGATTGGAGACAGTTGAACTGATGACTGAGCGAGGGTGGCGGGCCAATAAACGAATTGTACAAAAGAGCTCTGAGCAACTGGATTCATTCCCATGCTGATGGTAGCATCTCTCATGAGCCCCTGGAATTGTATAAATTTAAGGTTGGACCCTTAAATATTATACAAAAATGCTCCAGTAATAAAAATGATTTTGAAAACATAGAATTGGACTCACTATAACCTAAAATAATCAATATATTATGGTGCTAGCATGAATAGCCCTGAAAGGGAAAAGGGACATCCAAACCATGGAGGAGAGAGGCACTAAAAGACCCCACAGACAAAACACTGAACACATGGCTGAGCCCTTCTGCCTAGGCTGCCATAGGAACATCCTATGGACCCAGACCCTGGCACAACACATCTCTGTTTATCTGTAACTTAGCAATTTACAAATGTCAGATCTTATAGCCTGCCTGTATAACATCTCACTGAGCAGTGGTTTCTTCCTGACTTGCAGAGGGCCACATTCCCACTCCACCTTCATGCAGTCTTTCCCGTCTGTGCCAGGGACTCTGAGAACTCTGGTTTTCTTCCTCTTCTTGTAGGAAAACCTCCCAGTCCTGTAGCATAAGGGCTTGCCCTTGTGTCTGCAGCTAACTTTAATCACATTCCTCTACCTTTATCTGTGTATAAGTACTATTCTTGAGGCTAATTAGGAAAGGGAAACAGTTTGGACATGAGTATAGCCAAATGATCTTGACTTAGTGATTTAGCATCTCTAAGTTGTGCATCTGAGGAAAGCAGGTGGTTTTGGGCAGATTTTAAGTCTATTATATGACTGGATGTAAGAATAGAGTAGGAGGAAAACTCTAGGATAGTGCAGTTACAATTTAAGTTGGAAAAAGTAACCACAAGAAAATGTAGCACGCAAGGTTTAAATCTTAGGATTTGTTTAGGAGACCGCGGTTTGGCACAAAACAGACAGAAAGCTATGTTTTCTGAGTTAGAGATAATCCTGTAATCAGCTGTGGAAGGATTCTGAGAATCAGAGTGTGTGTGTGTGTGGGGGGGGGTGACAGGGAGAGAGAGAGAGAGAGAGAGAGAGAGAGAGAGAGAGAGAGAGAGAGAGACAGAGAGAGAGAGAGAGAGAGAGAGAGAGAGAGAGACAGAGAGACAGAGACAGAGAGACAGAGAGACAGAGATAGAGAGACTGCCCAGAGTGTCAGTGCACTGATGTCACATCAAGGGATGAAAACAGAGCCTACTCCCTGGAGTCCTTCAGACAAGACTAAGCCCTGCTTTGAACTCCCCACTTATCTCCCTGTGTCACAGTCTTCCCAGAGGTTTTGGTCTGTGTTCTCTCTGTGGTGTGTGCTTGAGCTGTCTGTCCCTGTCATTTGTCTGATGGATACATAGTCTTAAATGCTCTCAGGGCAGATTATTTTCTTGGTTTCAAGCCTGGCAAAAGTTCTGTCTCTTTGGACGTTAGAGTATTTTCAGAAAAAGATTTTAGCCATGCGTCAAGGCATTCTGGTGGGCATCTGGAAAAGAGATAGAAAAAAGAAAAGAAAAAGTGACAATTTCTCAGCAAAAGTAGGGAGCCTTAGATGTGAGAAAATGGAGATGACTACTTTGAGACAGACGCTTTGGGTCTGAGAAGTACGTATCTTATTAAGGCGATAGAGGGGTAGTTGTTCCTTCCATTTGGGGAATCTTACAATCCTTTGATTAGTTTTGAATGCCATTTCTCTATGGAAGACCAGAGACAGAATTCATCTCCAACCCTTTTGACAACTTCACCAATATGAGTGACCAAATGTGAGCTGACCAAGGATGATATCCATGAGCAGGAAACATGCCAAACCAGATAGGGAAAAGGCCACGAAGCCTCAACTATACAAGAACAATGAACAACCAATTCATTGGTTAGTAGGGAGGTAGGGAGGTGGTGTTCCCCAGGGAAAGAACACAGCCATTGGTTGTCCAGTGCCAGGTGTACAACCCTGATAGCATGCATACGAGAAACATTATAAGGACTGGACAGGTTATACTTAGGAATATATGTGTATGTACAAACACAGACACATGCACATATATGTGTATATATGCGCATTCAATAACAATTAATGGAAAAAGGAGGCCATGGATTTGAAGCAGAGCTGAAAGGGTAATATGTGAGGGGTTTGAAAGAGGAAAGGAAAGGGAAGAGTAGGGAGAAATGTAAATTAGATTCTAATCTCAAAAATTAAAAATCATGTGGAAGGACACTTTAAAGAAAACTCAGAGTAAAACCAAATTTTCAAAGCAGTCATCATGATCAGGAAATAATTTCTTCCAGTGACTTTTTCTAAGCTTCTTGTCTGCACACTCCTCCTTTTCACATGGCATTTAAATTGTGTGTGTGGGGGGGTGCTAACATCATATGAAGGCAGGCTTACGAAGGTCAGAGGACAGAATCAGGCACTGGTCTCCACTTGCTTGTGTTTTGAGAGAGGAAAGCCAAGTGGTTCCCTCCCTTCTCTCAGCAGAAACACTGAGATTGCAATCCTCATGCTTGCTTGGGAAGCCCTGGACCCACTCAGCCACTTGTCCAGCACCATTTTAAGCACCCTAGAAAAGCAATTGTGATGCTGAATCCCTCCTTTCTTATGGTATTTCAGATCTTGTGGAGAGTGACTTGAGATTGGGGACCACAGACAGAGCAGCAGCATGACCAGGAAGGAAGCCAGTTTGCAGAGAAACTCCTGCAGCCCTTCCTTCCATAGGCTTCAAGTATTGGACAGAGGATGCTCAAAATGTCCTTGATATACCAACCTGGAGAAGAGACAGGGCTCTTTGTTCATGCCATGTAAATGGTCATGATTCTCATGGCCCAGTGCTCTTTGGGATTATTCCTCTGCTCACTAGTCCCTTCTCATTTTCCAGAGTGCTGTTTTGTAATGAAATGTCTCTATTTCTGTTGCTAATCATGTGCCCCGGTCCAGTCATTGATGTTAGACACAAATATTTGGATATTTCAAAAGTGCCCAGGGAATGTTTTGCAATTGTGCCTGGACTCAGGTCTTTACCTGTAACATTTGATGAGCCAGGCTAGAAAGAGACAAAGGCAGAAGAAGTTTCTGTCCTCTAAGTCTCTGTCTCTGCCTGTTTCTCTCTGTCTCTCTGAAGTAACCAAATGCATTGTTATTCCTTCTTTTACAGAGCACTTAGAAATAATGGAGAGATTTCTGTAGGAAGATTAATCATGACCCGTGGCATCAGATTCAATCCTGCTTTTCTTTACTCTCCCTGCCTACAGCAATGCACAGTGAATAAGAGATTGTGCCCACACCTTATGGGAAATAAAGGCATTGCCTGGGCAGCTAAAATCACCTGAAATCTGAGCACCAGCTGTCCAGGAAGATCTGCCTAGTTGGGAGGCTCACAAGGATCCTGCTGAGGACCTGTTCCCCAAGGAGAAGGCACATGCACTTGTGCATAATTCCATGCAGCAGAAGCTGAGCAGCACAGAGGCAACAGCCATTTGTGTGGGCAACCTGGACAGAGAGCAGCCAGGATCCCACTGCTCATGTGGATGATCAGGATACCCGCTGCAGTCAGAATTCTTCAGCCTTTCTCATACTGCAGGTAATCATTTGCAAACCATAGCCCTAGGCACCTGCTAAAATGATAGGAACTTTAGACCCAGGAAGAGCTTGGTCACTGATACTAGGACCATGACTGTCACCTGACAGGTCCTACAGCCTTCTGCCCTCTACTTACTTTGGCTCCATATTTTTCTATCACTTTGAACTCTGTATTCTATTTCATCATTCCCCAACAGCTCTCAGCCTCCTCCATATTCATGTACTACAGATAGTCCTATGTATAAAGACAGAAGAATAATCCCCCAAGCAAAGAGATGCTCACTTTGGCAAAGAGTCGGTGCAAACACCTCCACTGACTGGCACATTTAAACTGAATGGCAATATCAAACATAAAAGCCCAGGGTCATTCACATAAATAAGACTACACTGGGTGCCTAGTATTTCTTGAATATATATATATATATATATATATATATATATATATATATATATATATATGCATATATATGCATGTATATACACATGCATATATATGCATATATATGTATATATATCATATGAATTGAGTACACATGTTATATGTATACAGAGTTAGGAATAAATATGTGACCATGTCTATTGAGTTTACTGTGGGAGGACAGGATACTTGAATACCATTTGTCAGAAGGACTTGTATGTCTGTATTTTTGTTTCTTAATCATGAGTGGTTGAACAAAATGTATGCTGTCCATTTGTTAAGCCAGCTGTGGATGGGTAAAAAACCTGGTTCAGAAACTTTGAATCTCATTTCAAGAGGTCCTTTGGGGGTCTACTGGGTACATCCCAGGGACAATGAGGGAGGGGGGGGTCAGGGGATGGGTAGAAGGACACTCTGAGCAGCTGCTCTCTTTGGGGGCTCTAAGTAGATAGAGTGGTAACTTGTCCATTCCTGAAGTTCTCCTTGGTAACTGTCTCTCTCTGTGAGATGACCATGCTAAAGTCTCCCCAGGTATTTCCAACTACATGTGTGAGACAGTCTTTAAAACTAAAGCCAGCTTGCTGTCACCCATCGAGCCCCTGCCAACAGCACCCCCATTACACAGAGTCCCTGGACACTCAGGACAATCAGCATCCTTCTTCCCTTTCCAGTAGTAGAAAGAGAAGGCAGAAGACAGAACAAAGGAATAGAAGCAGACTCAGTCACACCTGGTCACAAGCAAATGTCTGTGTCCTGGGTTCACTCAAACTGCAGAGCAGGGAAATCCTTACCCCATGGTTGCTGTGAAGGTGGCAGTTCTCTGGGTTCTCACCAGGACAGGCTCCTCAGAATGCTGTCTTGACTCTCTGCTGTCTTGTGGACTTGCACACCAACTGGACTCTCAAAGAAGGACTGGGAGACAGCTCTGTGAGCTGTGGTGTGCTCTTCCAGTCACCAGGTGAAACAGATCTCTGAACTGTGGTGTGCTCTTCCAGTCACAAGCAGGAAACTGAAACTGGAAAGTGAAACTAAAGCCTGAGGGTTATGCTCAGGGAAACTGAAAGCAAACAGGGATTGGCCTTCTGCTCTCTCCTCTGAACTGATGGGGAGAAGGCTCTGAAAGAGCCTGACAGGTCAGTTCCATTCAGCTCTCCAGAGAGACATCCCTGGCTCCAGGACATGTTGTTAGGATGTTAAAGGAGGTGATGTGGACATGAAGACACAGACTAGTATCTCCACAAGCACCATTGTTTCTCAGTCAAAAGAACTGAAGTTCTGCACTGTCTCCTTGGAACTGAACCACACTCATGGATTTGATGGCATGGCAAAGGGGAAGTTTGGGGATGGAGGAGTCTATCTGCAGGTGAGATCCCCCGCAGTCTGGAAGGGGTACATCCCAGCTGGTGTGGTGTGTAGCTGTCCTTAGGAACTTCTGCAGGTGTGATCTTTCAAGTCCTCTTCCCTCTACAGAGCTTTTAGGTCTATCTGAGGCTTTAGGAGTTTACCCTTCATTAACTAGACCAATTTCCCAGAGCCTACAGTCATGGAGTCTTGCTTTCTGTTACCTTCTCCTGAGGTGTCTGTTTGTAAAGGGCTCTTGCTAGCAGTCACAGACACATGAACAAGAGCCAAGCATAGAATCTCTAGAGAATGCTGTATTCACAGCCTTGATGCTATTCTATGCTAATGGCTGAGACCAGTGGAGGGAACTGCAGAAGGTGGGGTTCTGATTGGTTCATGCCAATGTCAAGTCCCTTATGCTGTTGTCTTGCTTTCTTGGTAACCTACATTCTCAACCCTATTGGTGTCTCATTGCTTAGCCTGGCCATTCATTGCTGTGTCCCCAAATTTAGCTCATCCTTCACTCCTCCAAATATAAAAATCATTGAAAAGGACATAAATATCTAACTCCATCTCCTTGATAGAATGATAATCTATTGTGAAAGTTTTCCTGACCATAAAGTTTTATCCCTAAACCTCAATCAGCTATCACCAGCAGGAGATGGGGGCTCCTTGGCCAAATTCCCAATGAGGTTTAATTATGAAGAACACAGAGGTATGTGTCAGGAGGTGCTAGGTGTATGACAGAGAGTATAAAAGCTTTTTATAAAGTCTGCCAATTGGGATCAGTCATCAGAATCCTTATTGGGGCAGAGAAATAAATCTAGAGGGTTATACTGTGACCTTCACAATATGTCATGACACATTTGCTGAGGGCCGTGGCAGTATATGACAGGTGACAACTTGTGTTTGACAAGTCGACCCACCAGATGTGTATGTCCCTAATGGGGAGTCTCACCTGGCAAAGCCGTGGGGTCACTGGTTATGGAAACAGGTTGTTTTCTGTCTAGAGCTTTCTCGGGTACCACTTGGATGCCTCCCTAATAAGAAGAGCTGTGGGGTGCTTTCCATGGTGCTTTGGTAGTATATCTTACATTTGGACACATATGTAGCTGTGAATTTCTGTTTAAGCTATGTACTTCTGATGAACAGAAATATTACCAGAGTATTCTTCTTTACTGACACAGGAAAGTAACAGTGTTCTTGATCCATGACAGCCTTTAACTCATTGTCCAAGACCTTAGAACAAGTCCAAAACAGATTAATCTGCTCCTACAGAGAATACACAAAGACTAATTCCCAGTGTTGTTTATTGCTAAATCAAGGCCAGGCTGTTTACATCAAAACATAGTCTTATAGTGGCTCCCTTTCTTCATGTCCCCTGACCACACAGACTTTAGCCAATGGTTTAATGTCTGAGACCCCTCACCAAGTTAGAGCTGTGTGCATGGGTCAATGTGACAACACTATCCTAAGAGAAGCTACATGACTTATCTGTGTTGTGAGAATGGGTGGGGCCCTGAAAATGTAACTAATACTTGTCCAGAGTTTGGTTGTGGAGAAGCAGCAGTGGCAGTGTGGCCATAGATGGCTGTGTGGAGCTATGTGACAGCTGCTGCAGAATGTGAGTGAAGTGTGTATGTGTGTGTGTGTGTGTGTGTGTGTGTGTGTGTGTGTGTGTGTGTGTGTGTGTGCTGAGTGAGAGTGATGAAGATTCATGAGAAAAATGTGAGGGAGGGAGTGGATGAAAGAGTGAGTAAAGAGTGAGTGTATAATCTAGCAGAAGTATGGGTGTGAGTGAGTGTGATAGAGAGCTGTGTGAAAGAGCTGCTGCTATATAGAGGAGCTGTGCTAGGAACTGTGTAAAGGGCTGTCTGGGGAGAGAGCTGTGTAGATGAGATGTTCAGCTGTGGCTGTGTGGAGATGTGTAACTGTGTGGCAGCAAGGAAGATGAAGCTGTGTAGAAAAGAGATGTAGAAAAGAAATGTGTGAAAAGAGAATGTGTAGCCATGTGATATATGTATGTATGTAAAGACATGTGGCTGTGTGCAGTATTGTGGAGATATGTAGCAGTGTGGAGACGGAAAGAGTCAGAGATCATTTCTTAAGATGAAGTAAAAGAAAGTTATCATCAGAAGGCATGTGTGTTTCCTTATTTCATCAGTCATAGAGAGATTAAAATTTATTCCTAATTACCCTCAGATTAAAAATAGTTTACCATCCCTCACTACTCTGAGGCATTCCTTTTGTTTTTGTTTTTGTTTTTGGAGACAGGAGATAATGTTTCTCTGTGTAGCTTTGTGCCTTTCCTGAAGCTCCCTCTCTAGACCAGGCTGGACTTGAACTCACAAACCTCTTCCTGCCCCTGCCTCCCGAGTGCTGGGATTAAGGGCATGAACCACCACCACCTGGCTGAGGTATTCCTTTTATTACGCTGAGAGGATTGGGGAAGCTGCTCTGTAGTGGGTAGCTGTTCCAGCTTTGACCTAGAAGCAATACCCCTAGTGAGGCTTCTGGTAACTACCACTCCTACCTATGACCTGCCCCTGGGTCAGGGCTGAGATGGGAACCCTTAAGACTGAAGATCCATTTGGGCCAGCCCTTTTAGTTCCTTGTGATTCTGGATGCTGGAAGTCAGAGTTCTGCAGAAAACCCTGTTGGACTACACCTCACCTCTCCCAGATCCTGTAACCAACCCCTTTACTGGCTGTAAGTTACCCCAAAATAAACCTCCTTTTAACTACATGGAGTTGCCTCTTTAAATCCCCACAGTATTGTTCTCTCACAGTCAGTGATACACATTGGTACCCCCCCCCCCAATCACAAACATTCACAACCCTGTCACATACCTCAGAAACACACTGAATAATTCATTTTAAAAACATAGGATTGAAAGGACCAAGGTAAATAAGGGTCTTTACTCAAAATTGTCTCCTCCATGCATTGAGTTTGTCTCTCTTAGAGACTTAGCTGAGTGTGAAATTGACTGTGACAACTGTCTGCTCATACAGTTACAGGACAACTGAGCGAAATCCAGAGAGTCCACATACAGCTCCTCTGAACCAGCCCTGTAACTGCCCTGCATAGAGTTCCTTGAACTGACCTTCAAGTGCATGGGAGTCACTCCGGCCTCTGTCCTACAGGCAGCTTCTCAGAAGCATGTTGAGCTCAGGACATGTTCTATTTCCTCTAAGCTACTCCATGTTGTAGGTTTTTCAGGCTGTCCCTTGCTAAAGGAGACTCCATTTGATAAGCCAGTGTAGATTCCATTTTGAGGAGATGTCACCAACCTGTGATCCACTGGACCGAGCCCATAAGTGTACCAAAATGATTCTTTCTTTAACAGTTCTGTGCTGTATCTTCAAAAAGGTGAAACAGAGAAGAACAGGAAGGTTTTCATTTTTCAATCCTTAACAGCATAGAGTAAGTGTTGTCTGCTCACACTCTCCTACTAATTATCCTTGCTTATCATTTAAGTTCCATAGAATTATTCCACAGTGGGTAGAATGCTGCTTGTCAGGGAACATTCCTAATAACTAGGTCAGCTTCTAAAACAAAATTGATTCATGCTTGGGGTAAAAGACAAAGCTCTGTGTACATGCATGTGAAAGCCAATCATGTTTGAGCACAATGCTTCCATGGAAATATATTGGAGTGTTTCATTTTCCAAATCACTACAGTCCATGGCAAGCAGAGGACCAAAATTGATTCTTCCCCTACTCCTATAAGGTGCCATTGGTGCCGGTTCTGTGCAGTTCAGGCACAGGCCGGTATTTCACCTCTTCCCCCTTTGTCTCTGTAATAAATGGAACCATTTATGATGCTGGCCAAAGAGTGTTAGGAAGAGAAGAAAGAAATAGCTAACTGTATGTGGGTGCATGTGCCTACAACCATGTATTTGTGATTATGTGTGTGTGTGTATGTGTGTGTGCGTGTGTGTGTGTGTGTGTGTGTGTGTGTGTGTGTGTGTGTGTGTGTCTAATGCACAGAGTAGAGATAAAAGGGAATGGGAAAATAAAGAAACCTTCAGGAAATGATGTGTCAGCGTAGGCTTTCAGACCCATCCCACTTATCCAAAGAAACTGTATGAGTTTGACCTTTTGTGAAAGGTCATGTCAACACTGCTAGCTGAGTTATTTCTGGCTCATTAGTGAGTAATTGGAATGGGCTGGCAGATTTAAATCCTCACTACATGTTTCAGTCATTAGAGAACATCTAAAGGAATTGTGCTCAGACTCTTGGATATCCCAACTGAACACACCCCAGAATTGAGATTTAAAATCAGTTTTAAACCAATCAATCAAGCCAGGTGGTGGTGGCACAAGCCTTTGAACACAGCACTCAAGAGGGAGAGGCAGGCAGAAGTTTGTGAGTTTGAGATCAGCCTGGTCTACAGAGTGAGTTGTAAGACAGCCAGGACTGCTTCACAGAGAAATGCTGTGAGAAAAATCAATCAATCAAACAAACAAATCAGAATTCTCAGGTGATTGTGTTGTGTGTCTGGGTTTGAACCAGGGACAAAATGGTCCTAGGCATCCTCTATAAATTTGAAATTGCTTGACTTAGCTGATCTGGGAATCAGCTAAGGGTCCAGTTCATCTTTCAGGGGTATGGTGAGGGACCCCAGGTGCAGTATTCTTTTTACATTGTACTTATTGCTCTTGCTGACTCTCTAGAGAAGAAGACGGCCAGTGTCTTCCTAATGCAAAAGAAGACATGGGAAAAGAATGTGATTATGTATGCTCTATTCACAGTAGGGTGCAGACAGATGTTAACACATGTCTCCTGACATGGTACAAATATGCAGCATAGGGAAGGTGTTCCATACAAATACCTATGACTTGTTCAAAGCCATCACTGTTCTTTTAAAATCTGTTATCTTAAGCCTATACAGAGTAGGTCTTAGTGACCTGTCTGCCTATCACTTTAGGAACAAATCCAATAGCTGGAGGTCACTGCCCACTCCACCCCCACCTTGATATCAGTGTTCTGGTCCTTCTGTCACATTAGCACTCACTGGAGAAATTGCTGTGCCACTTGGGGAAATTATAGTTGAAGGAAAGCATGGCAGTGACTATGGGTGATCCCAGGATGCTTTCCTGCTAAGGCCATAACAATCGTGGACACAAAATAGGCCACTGATCCACATTCACTTACCTGCTTCTCCGTCTTTGCTATGGAGTTTTCAATGTCCGTCCATGGAAAGTCCGGTTTGTAGACATTTGTCCTACATTTGACCTAGAGGTCACCGTAGAACATTTGGAACAGTAGTGGTAACTACCTACACAAAATCTACATATAATTAATAAGGACATTATTAGTTATACCTTGATACTCAAAAACAATACACAGTGATTTTACTTAACTTTATTAATTTAATGTATTTTCCCCGGCCAGCGGGGTGTCAACGGGGGTGACCCACCTGCGGGAGAGAATGAGAGGGACGGGGGAGACACAAAAGGACTACAGCAAGACAGTGTGTTCTGATCAAGCTGCAAATTTTATTCTCCGCAGCAAGGCTTATATAGCATGGGAGGGGGAGGGAAGGAGGGAAGGGGTGCATGACATGCCATACGTGCAGGTGAAGGGGGACTTGCAGGTGAAGGACTATGTGCAAGACATGCAAGTCATGAGGCTGCTAGGTGGTAAGGTCACTGGTCAGGGCACATTGTTCTGTTGCTATGCTACCTGACCTGCCTGACCTGTTCTTTATCTTTGGGGGCATCTGGTTTAGGGTAGGGGCTTGTTCTCTGGCTTAGCTAGTACTTTTCCATGGTCCATGTTTGGTCTCTGACAGTATTTCACATGTATTTACTTTGTGGGCTTTCTCATTCAATCTCTCCTTTTCCTCTCTCTCTCTCTCTCTCTCTCTCTCTTTCTCTCTCTCTCTCTCTCTCTCTCTCTCTCTCTCTCTCTCTCTCAATATTGTGTCACCCATGCTTGTCCTTGCACAGCTGTGGAGGGCACACCTCCACTTGCTGTAGTTTCGTCCATGCAGCTGAGTGAATGGGAAGACTAGGATAACAACAGGAGACTATACTCAGAGGGGATGAGGAAGAGCAAAGAAAACCCCAAAGAGCTGACAGGACAGCTAAACAGCAGGAGCAAGGACAGAGGAGATGCAGAGGATGGGGAAGTGCTCCTGACCATGGGCAGTGTGGGTCAGCAGACACAGAGCACATGGGTGCATGCTGGGCTTGCTGAGACCAGGACCTAGGAACCACAGGGTACTTTAATCAAGGGGAGAATTTTAACCATTTATGTTCTCTAGTTTAGACCCTCCAGACTACAACTCTCATGGAGGTAAGTGAAGGGGAAAAAAATTAGTGACAACAGGACACCCCAGGTGTCTGAAACATCCAGTTTCTGACCCACATATCATCCCGTGAAAAAACTAGTAAAGGTGTGTCCCCTTGGGCAAGTGTGAAAATGCTCTCCTGGAAGAGAAGAGTCTGCAAAATTCCCAGAACCCAGCTTGTGAATCAAGCTGTGTGCCCTCCCGCTCTCTCCCAATCTTTCCTTCTCCAACCCATCGTTTGTTCCCTCAGTTACTCTTCCTCAACATCCACTGAAAATATTAGGGAGCAGTATTATGAATCTTGAGTTTTCCTTTGCTTGAATGTATTAAACATGTTTTTGGCTTATCAAAGAAACATCTCTTAGAAATATCAGAGGTATTTCCCCAAATATCAGGTGAATGAACCCTAAACCCTTCCCTGGAAACATAATCCCTACTGAGAAACAGCAGCTGTCAGGTAGCAAGGCAGCATCAGTCACCCTTACTATCCCATGATGTGGAGGATGAAATATAGCCTTCATCTTTACACCGACCCCTTGCAGGGTTTATGTGCAGAACTTTCTTTCCTACCTGTCACTAGACTTCTGTTAGTTGATTCTGCTATCCCAAGCCTTCTTGAGGACACTGAAGGGATATCCTTTCCATTCTGTCAACAAACTACACTGGAAGACTTTGTGATTCAAGGAACTTTACTGAATATATTTTATTTGAGGGGAAAAGATCCAATATAACACACTATCAATAGCACAGAAAAAGTGCACAAATCTCCTTATATCATCTTCTGTCTGTAAGTTCCCTGCAGGTTTCCTCTGCTTGGCTTTTCCCAAACTGAAGACTATTATAGGCTGTGAATGATTCTGCAGTAAGGGGAGACCTCTCAGCTTTCAAACTCTCCCCTTTGCTCACTTGGTTTTCTCTGACACTGCACTGTACTAAGAGTATCTGCTAACCTAAAGGGAAAGCTTCCTTGGAGAAGACCTCTTTGTCCAGGACACTGGCAGGCAGAGGATGGAAGACTTTCGTTCCCAAGACACAGACATAAGGAAAAGATGTCGTAGGATCTCACAGCTCAAGGGAGTGCAGATCAGCAGGGGTCAGTCCTGGTCAGTAAGTGAGCAGGTGCAGTGGGGTGCAAGTTCCTTATAAACACCACAATGAGGGGTGACAGAGAGGTTGGAGAAAGAAACTGGGAAGGAGGCTGGGAACCCTCAGTTATGAGTACATTCACTTCACAGAGGTGAGCTGCACTCAAAACTCATTGTTCACTTCCCCAGGGAGCCTCAGAGCCAATTCATAGCACTGTAGTGCCGCTTCCTTGTCCCCCTTCAGTTTGCGGATGAAGCCCAGCAAGCAATAGCTCTCCACTATTCGAACATGCTGGCGAGCACATCTTGTGGCCATTCTCTCTAACCTTGAAAGTAGTTTCCTCCAGACAAAGTTTTCTTTGTCCAGTTTAAGACCTATTAAGTACTGGGTGATCACATCATCCTCTGATTTCCGATGAATGTGTTGGTAACGGCCATAGCGTAAATGAATATCCTGTTCTTTGTGACACTCAAGATTACTGTTCAGTTCCTTCATGTTCAGCGCCTTCTGGAAATTTGCCTCTGCTTCTTCGTGTTGGCCAATTTCTGCCTGTACTTCAGCCATGCAAACATAAGCCATCTCAAATCTGGGCCTGAGTTTCACAGTCTCTTGAAATTCAAAAACGGCCTGTTGTGCCGCCTGCCTTTGGGCCGGCTTATCGCTGGATGTCCTCAGTTGCATCACATGTCTATGGTAGCAGAGCCCTAGTTGGTAATGCAGGTAGCCAGAGGCAGGTGACGCCTGCAAGGCCCTGTGTAGCAGAGGGAAAGCCTTGTCTAGGCAGCCTTTCCTTTGGTAACACTTGGCTATAGAGCGAAATGTATAATGTTGGCAGGATGTGCTACTGAGGGCTTCTTCAATGTGTGTTTCTGCTTCCGCTGCTTCTCCTAAATCCTGAAGCTTCAGCGCAAGATACACTTTAATATTCGGATCTTCTGGATTTAACCTGACAGCCTTCCTTAGGGGTTTAGAGAGATATTATTGTCATCAAAGTCTGTGTGATAGGCTGCAACGGCATAGCCAATGTTGTATTCAGGGTTTTTAGGATCCTCTCTCAAAGCTCTTTTAAAGCAGCCCATGGCTGGTATATAATTGTTTCGTCCACTCTTCAGAAAGACCCAGCCTTTCTCATATTCCATCTCGGCATACTCCATACTATAGCTGAAGGTACTGCCCAATTCCTTGCGAGTGTTCTCCACCTTGTCCAGGTAGTTCTGGGTTTCAGCCAGGCTGCCCATGTGGTAATGCACCCAGGCACAGTTGCCCCAAGTAACCAGGCTTCTCTTGCCCAACTGCTCTCCCTGGATCAAGGCTTCTGCTTCTTTCAAGCTCTGCAGGGCTTCCTCATGCTGGCCTTTCAGGTGTTTCACATAGGCCCTGAGGTTGAGCATCCCCACTGAGTGTTTGATGTCTAGGAACTCAAGGTCCTCAGAGATCCTCATTTCCAAATCAGGTATGTCAAGGTCTTCCAACATCAGATTCCATGTGAAGTGAAAATTCAGTTCAATCAGATTCTCCCTGACCTGATCACTGCCAGCATTCTCTCTGTGAGAAGGAAGTAGGTGAATTGTTAATGGCCCAAAAATTGCCAATTAACTCCAAGACACACACATTTCACAAGATTCTTATTAACTTCCTGAAAGTCTGACATTATTTTCCTTTAGAATTTCTTGGTTATTTTCAATCAATCTCTCATCTCCATTAATTGGTACTGCCAGAGACCTCTTGTACATGCATGTACATGAACCTGTACTTACAAACTTAGGTTGTAAGTTAATCCTTTCAGTCAAGACTGGACATTGCCACGCAGATATAGGCACACAAACATACATGTCAGAGTCCTTATCTGAGGTTTGGAACTCTAAAATTCTATTCCCCCTTTCCTTATGTCTTTGAGGACTATGTGTATAAATTTATTCCACCTGAGCTGACATAGACAGGACCTGTCTGTGTGGTAAACACTGAATGTGGAGGAGAAGTCTCTGGGGGTCTGCCTATTTCATCTCAGACACAAACAAGGAGCTGTTCTCCATAGGTGATGCAGAACTAATGGACATGCTCTCTGCCTTGTGACTCTGGGGATATGACTCTTCTCTAGAACTTTATCTTTGGATGATGTAGCTGGGGAGCTTCCGAAGAGTAAGTCAACTTAGCTCTCCCCTCCTATGGTTACAAAGAATCCCTTTATTTTAAAGATGCTTATACAACTTCATGCCTTTTCTTGTTTCCCTATAGAGCAGTACAAGTAGTTCCAAACTATGTATCACTCCTGTCTCAGAGAACCACCTATAGAATCTAGTCAGTTAGCTTCAGGGTAGTAACCCAAAAGCAAGCAGCTTGGAGACAAACCTGTGCTCAGAAGGCAAAAAGGCCTTTGGTCCTGTTGGTAGCAGTCTCTGCCAGAGACCAGAGATGCCATAGTGCTTAAACCAGCTGTCTTCACTTTTCACCTGGCCGTGCCAAGAGTAGTAGAATACAGGTGTGTTCTTACCCATATCAGAGCACACTAGCATTGTGCCCATAAGGGTAGGCTAATGGAAACAGACAGCCATCTAGACATCTCATGGATCAGTCAATTGGTCAGGTTTGCTCACCCATACCTCATGCCTCCCTCCATGAATGTTATGAACAATGCACTAGCGACCAATGATGGCCCCTCTCTTCCAGGTCCCAATTTTACTAGACCATAGTGGTTTTCAGCCTTCCTAATCCTGTAGCCATTTAATACAGGAAAGCATCTTGTGGTGATTGCCAACCTTGAAGTTATTTCATTACCACTTCATAATTGTAATTTTGCTACTGTAATGAATCATAATATAAACATCTGATATTTGTCTCCCAGAAGGATCGTGGCACATATTTGAAAACTGTTGTACAAAAGGAACTTTGTCTTCTTTCTTTCAGTGAAATTCCCACTCATAATCCCACAGTAAATCTTTAGGAAACCACCTTCTGTGGAACATTAACATCCATTTTCTATACTGTAAAAATGGAACATAAAACCACCATTTACTCAATGGACGTTTGTGTGACTGTGAGCTTTGGCACACTGAGTCCTGAATTAAAATTCACCTTAGTCTAGAAACCTTCTGTCCAACTCAAATCCTCTTCCTTTTCCTTTGACTAGTTTTCAGTGCAGAACTTCCCTAAACATTATTGTCTTGAGGACCATGTAGTGCATGCAACAGGTAAAGGACCATGACTGAAATGATGTGATGTTTGGTCAGGATTGCATTTTCCTCCTTTACCTCTAAAGAGTATAGTTTCATGGAAAGCTTCCCAGTCAGTGCAAAAGTCAGCTTTCTCCTTCACGGGTTTTTCAATATGTACATCTTATACAAGTACAGTAGGAGAACAAGTGAGGAAACTGAGGTGGTTGCAACAACACATGGACAACTGTCATTCTTCCCCTTAATGATCTAAGCACTGGAACTGACATTCATCAGCTGATGTAGGCTCCTTCATCACCACTGCCTCCAGTTCCTGCTACCCTGGACAGGCACACCTCTAGCCTTCGTCCTCACACATTTTTTAGCCTTTGTCAATTGTCAACTTTGTCTCTATCACTTTAATTATTCATTAAAGAATGGTAATGTAAGTGTGAAATGACACACAAAAGGTTGTTGAATTTGTAGAAATCAGTCACTACAACAAAGAAGGTAAGAGAAAGTTGAAGAAGGGTCCATTTTGCCCAAGGGATGCATAAAATTTGTACATAAACAATGATCACAGAAAAGTATAAAATCATCTAAAAGAAATTAAAATAGAAAATCATGGAATGATAATTTGTATTAATGAGGCAGAATAGCATTCATATTGTTCACCAAAGGCCCTTGAAGGGAAAGCTGTTACCTCCTAGACTTTGGGAGAAGATCTGCAACTCATGGAGAGCTGCCCATGTCTCCTCCATTAAGAGCTATTCTTGTTGGGGAGGTCCTTGATCTGGCTAATAATGTGCCCAGGAAAGGCAAGTTTACCTTCATCCACACTGAAGAGATAGGAGGAATACTTGTCCCTTCAATGAGGTAATGGATTTTCTTTCCCAGAGTGTCTTCTCCCTGTAGTGCAATGCCTAGCAGCTGCCATGAGTTTGGGCTGAGCCTGCCTGCCTTCTGAGCCCTGACCTGGAAGGTAGGACTATTCTGCCCATTCCCCCATACTTGTCCTTTCTTTCTCCTCTAAAGTTGCCCTCCCAGCCATGTGGCTGCTTGTACAACCTGTTGCTGTCCTTCAGGAAAGCCTCAACACAATATGCCTGCGGATCCCATACCCCTGTTCTTCTCTATTCTCCTATTCTGAGCAACTAAGCACCCTAAGAGGACACCCAGTCTTCACCTTATCACTAAGATAATACAATTACCCAAAGAACCACAGATTCAATGCAATCCCTATTCCGAGGCACATGACAGTTTTGAAATGAAGCTATAAATCTCAAATTGTCTGAAATGTCCCAACATGCTACAATAATAAAAGTGATTTTTGAAAACATAGAATTAGACTCACTATAGTCTAAAACCATCAACATATTTTTGTGCTACCATGAGTACTCCAGTAAGAGAAAAAGGACATATATGACATGGAGATTTAATTACATAGAGACGCAAGGGCAGCCACTGAATGCATGGCTGAGCCCTTCTGTCTAGGCTGCCACAGGAAAAAAACTATGGACACAGAGGCTTACACAACAGAACTTTGCTACTTGTAACTTAGCAAATTATAAATCTCAGATTAAATTGCCTGCCTATATATTACCTCACCTACTAGGTGTTTCTTCTTGACTTGCAGGGGGCCATAGCCTTTTCCATGATCAGGAGGTCTTTCCTGTCTGAGCCATGACTTTGAGTGTGTGTGTGTGTGTGTGTGTGTGTGTGTGTGTGTGTGTGTGTGTATGTGTGCGTGCACTTGTGTGTTTGTGTGTGTGCATGTGTATGCGTGTGCATGCACGTATGTGTGCGTGTGTGTGCGTTTCTGCATGCCTGTGCTTGCATGTGTGTGTGCATATGCTTACATGCATCTGTGCGTGTTTGTGTGTGTGTGTGTGAGTGTGTGTGCGTGTTTGTGTGTGTGCATGTTTGCGCCTGTGTGTGTGCGGGTCTGTGTGCACTTGTGTGCACACGCCTGTGTGTGTTCCTGTGTGTATGTACATGACATGTGTGCGTGTTCATGTGTGCAGGTGTGTATGTGTGGGGTGGGGGGCATGTATTTATAAGCGGCACCAATGTCAAGGCATGCATATGAAGGTCAGAGGACAGCATTAGGCACTCATCTTTACAAGCTTGTGTTGGCAGAAGGAAAGCCAAGGCTTCCCTCTCTTCTCTCAGTAGAAACACTGAGATTGTAATCCTCATGCTTGCTTGCCAAGCCCTTGACCCACTCAACCCTCTGAGCTGCACCATTTGATGTCTCCAAGGGAAGCAAGTGTGATGCTCATTCCTTCCTTTCTTATGACATTTCAGATCTTAAGGATAGTGGCTTGAGATTGGGGACCACAAAGACAGCAGCATCAGTGACCATGAAGGAAGCCAGTTTGCAGAGAAAACCTGTAGCCCTTCCTTTCCTAGGCTTCAAGAAATGGACAGAGGATAGTCAAAATGCCCTTGATGTACCAACCTGAAGAAGAGACAGGGCTCTTTGTTCATGCCATGTAAATGGTCATGTGGAATGTCATTTTGTATGCTGTGAATATGTGTTGCTCTGATTGGTTGATAAATAAAATGCTGATTGGCCAGTAGCCAGGCAGGAAGTATAGGCAGGATAAGCAGACAAGGAGAATGCTGGGAAGAGGAAGGCTGAGTCAGGAGTCACCAGCCAGACACAGAGGAAGCACCTTGACAAGGCCACACTTAGAAAAGGTACCAAGCCCAGTGGCTAAATATAGATAAGAATTATGGGTTAATTTGAATGTAAGAGCTGGTCAGTAATAAGCCTGAGCTAATGGCCAAGCAGTTAGTTATAAATAATATTAATCCTCTGTGTGATTGTTTCATAAAAGGCTGGAGGAAAGTGGGTGAGGGAATTGTCCCGACTGTGGGTCAGGCAGGACACAGGAAACTTCTGACTGCATTGAGCCTCATGGCCCAGTGTACCACAAATCTTAAAAGTTCTTATTAATAAAAATAAACCCAGAGCCAGGTATTGGGGTGAACCCTGAATGATCAGAGAAACAGAACAAGCCACAGCCACCTCACCTTGCCAATTCCTCAGCTGATCATTTTTCCTCAGACTGGAAGCCTCTGAGAACTCATCCAAATAGATGTCAGCTGAACTGCTGCCAAAAAACCTAAAAGCTTAATCAGCTCTAGTTCCTGGTTTTCATGCCTTATATACCTTTCTTCTTTCTGCCATCACTTCCTGGGATTAAAGTCATGAGTCACCATGCCTGGCTGTTTCCAGTGTGACTTTGAACTCACAGAGATGCAGATGAATCTCTGCCTCCCAAGTGATAGGATTAAAGGCATGTGTGCCACCATTTTTTGGCCTTTATGTCTGTTTAGTGCCTGTTCTGTCCTCTGACTCCAGAAAAGTTTATTAGGATGTACAATATATTGGGGGTCACAATATATCACCACAGCCCAGTGCTCTTTGAGCTTATCCCTCTGATCACTAGTAACTTCTCATTTTCCAGAGTGCTGTTTTGTAATGAAATGTCTCTATCTCTGTTAGTAATCATGTGGCCATGGTCCAGTTCATTGATGTTGGAAACAAATAATTGTATATTTCAAAATATCCCAGGGAAGGTTTCCCAATTGTGACTAGACTCAGGCCTTTACATGTAATGTTTGATGAGCCAGGCTAGAAAGAGACAAAAGCATAAGAAGTTTCTGTCCTCTTAGTCTCTGTTTCTGCCTGTTTCTCTCTGTCTCTGTCTCTCCGAAATAATCAAATGCATGGTTATTTCTTCTTTTACAGAGCATTTAGTAAAGATGGAGAGATTTCTGTAGGCAGAGTAAACATGACCTGGGGTATCAGATTCAGTCCTGCTTTTCTTTGCTTTTCCTGACTACAGCAGTGCAGATTGAATTAGAAATTGTGCCCAAACCTTATGGGAAATAAAGGCATTGGCAGGGCAGCTAAAATCACCTGAAATCTGAGCACCAGATGTCCAGGAAGATCTGCCTAGTTGGGAGGCTCACAAGGATCCTGCTGGGGACCTGTGCCCCAAGGAGGAGGCACATGCACTTGTGCATAAGTCCATGCAGCAGAAGCTGAGCAGCACAGAGGCAGCAGCCATTTGTGTGGGCAACCTGGACAGAGAGTAGCCCCAATCCCACAGCCCTGTGGTGGCTCAGGGTCCCCTGTGAATTTGGAAATCTCCAGCCTTTCTCATTCTGCAGGAATGCCTTTGCAAACCAAAGTCTTAAGCACCTGGGTCACTGACTCTGTGATAATAACCATCACCTGACAGGTCCTACAGCCTTTTGCACTCTACTTACTTCGGCTCCATATTTTTCTACCACTGTGAACTCTGTATTCTATTTCATCATTCCCCATCAGCCCTCAGCCTCCTCCATAA